CCTCGTTAGATAATTATGATCATGAAAACTTTAGAACAAAGTTGTTGAAGTTTATCTTCTTTGATTGTCTAACAGCACTCAAAATTTAAATTATTTTAGTAATAAGAATTATAACAAATTATTAAAATAATTCATGATTTATTAACTATCACCAAGATGGAAAATATATAATCATTTAAAGAATTTTATAGTACATGGAATTTTCAGAATGTTTCAAAATCAATTTCAATTCTTTTTTCCACATCTTATTCTCATACTCGTTCGATTATCAGATTTTTGATAAATATTGGAACTCTTATTGTATTAAGAGTTTACTCTATACTTATTTGTTAAATAACTAACCTATTACCTATGACACAGCTCTAACACCTTAATACCGCCATTGAATTGGTATCATTATGACCGTCGCAACGAAACGTGTGTTCTTATGAAATCACAATAACTTTCTTTTATAGCCAGAAATGAGAGAAAAAAATTAATGAAATTTCGTAACATTTCTGCAAAAGTGCACTATAATTTTAAACAACCCTTAATCGTTTTACAATGTTTGTTGCAAAAATAGAACTAGGAATATTAATTAATATGAAACTTAACCATAAAAGTTTTACAATGCTTAGTGATAACGCCAGATGTTGACGTAAAGAAGTTGGAAAACTTTTGAATTGATCTCTTATTGAAACTCCAGGTTTCATATTTCGTCCAAACTCTTTCAGCTACGTTATTGTTTTCTGAAGAATCGTCAATGAATCCTTGTTCTATTGTACCAGAATCTCAGCCACCGGAATGTGTCTTTTGACAGCCAGCAGGTTCGCTTTAGAATAAATTATCAATAATTGTGGCGATGTCGGAGAACGATGAGATGTGTGTTGTTCGGAATTTAGAAAATGTGAGGGAAGAAACGCCAGGTAGCCATGGCACTCAGAGTTAACAACGTCAACGGACGTATTTATAGCTCTCGATTAACTGTAAGAATTGCGTCATTTCTCTCTTCATCTCCGTGGTTCTGCTGACTACTTCAACGCAGGAGGTGACATATCTGATGTGGCATAATGAATGCCTCAATTTTGCCTTCTGAATATACGCGTCGCGCGTGGAAACTAAAATAAGGGTTTAGGAGCCAACAAACAGCCTGCATATTTGCACTGAAAAAAAACACGATTAACTGCTTTCCTGTCATGAATAAATGAAACCGAAGTTAAATATTTTAGAATTGGTTCTACGTCATCGGCAAAATACCTTTAGATCTTAAAGTATGGTGAAAACGATATGTACAGCGAATTAATATAATTATCCACCTGTATTAATACCTATTAAGCGTTGATATGAATGTAAAATATTAAAGTTTGCAATATAAATCTCTTCTTATAAGAAAGGTGATTGAAGAACCTGATATTATGACCAAAACAGTAGATAATTTTATATCTTTGTGACGGTAGCTGTGTCTCTTTTGTTGCTTACAATGTTCAATAATTTCAAGATTTTCCCATTCGTTCACATATGATATTGACATTGACTGATGTTGCTGGAAATTTCTATTGTATACCCTGCGGAGTAAAGATAGTAAATAACCCTCTTGCTAGTGTGACGTGAATAGATGTCGTTAAGTGCTTGTATTGAGATCGGAAGGACTACAATTTGAGTTCCGCAAGGGGGGAAACATTTTTTCGTTTATGGTCATTTGCAACAAAATGTAATCAAAATAAGACTGAAAAGCTTAAAGGAAAATAATAGTAATAATAATAATAATAATAATAATAATAATTACATTTATTTGCTCCATTTTTTAGATTTTTGTTAGAGCAATTGTATCTCAGTGACATATCCGCTACTATGTAAAAGCCACGATCCACTACTATTTGAAATCATAAGAATATTGCAATGCTTTGTGAAACTTTTCTCAGTGTTTTCATATCCACCGTTTGTTTAATATAATTGCCATATTTGAATGTTACAAAAAATCTCATGCAACTATATAAGAAGACCGCATGCTATGCACGTTTTACACCATATTTATTCTATAACATTTTCTATCAAATTTATTTTATAAAATTTTATATTTTATTTATTCTATACATTTTATACCATACTTGTTCTATAAATATTTACGTCACATATATAAATATGTACACAATACTTTTTCTCTGTATACTTCCGACAGGAACAAAAAATTCATTTGCATCTTGTGCTTTCGGTTTAGAAGGAAAGAAATACACTTCCCTCAGTCTTCTATATTTTTCCACGAGTAAAATTTGTTCGTCGCATCTACATTTATTTGCAGATCGCACGACCAATGGTCCACTTTTATCATAAAATATTTGCAGCTGGTTGGGCCTGTGCGAACTTCACGTACTTGGTAAATCGTTGTTTTAAAGGCGAAAATATTTTTATACTGGTACTCAACTGGTCGAACTGGTCATTCTGGTCGAACGACCAGAACCTGAAATGTGATTTACATCTCTGCGCCCGGTGCTTTATAAGAGTAAACATTCTAATATTTTTTAGTGGTTATTAAGAAAACAAAGACTTAGACCTCATTCACAATTCAAACTTAAACGTAACGTAATGTTGTAAACTTAGCCGTAAATCTTACATATAAAAACAGCAATCACAATGACGAACGTAAACTGGAATGTACGTTTTGCCTGAACTAATCAGATTTCAATATACTGTAGCTTGATCGATTCGTTTCTAGCATGGTGAAAAGATCTTTTCACCTCGAATTCTAGCTTTTTCTTCAACTTTGCTATTGATTTGTCTTTTTATATGCGAGGGCTGTTATATTACTGCTCGCATTTCCTTTATTTTATAAACAAGGATTCTCTTGTACTAAATTCACGGGTAATTCGTAGAACGTAATTATTTTATTCCCCCCGTCAAGTTAAAGTTACGAGAAAAATGGCCCAAACTCTTACTTTGAATTCAGTACTCGCATCAAACCCATTTGCAGAATGGTCAATACAGTGAAGAGATGACATAACCACAAACAACCTGAACACAGTCTGAAATTCACTATGCTTGTTTATTTCATTCTGCTCACTGATTAGTCTTCGGTAGAATTCCGTCGTAAACTGAACGTAGAAGGTTCTTGGTTGGTGCTTGTGAACTCTTTAAGTTAACGGATTTTCGTCTGCGGTTACGTCAACGCGTAGTGGTCCCGCTTAACAACTCATTTCTAAGTTTTGAGACTACGTTACGTTTACGTTTGCATTGTGAATTAGGCTTTAGAACTGTGAGATTCACGTAGACAAATCGAGCTCACAGCAGGTTTTTACCTACAACTTCTTCCACCAACCTTCATCATCCTTTATCTCATCGTCAGTACCATTATCATTTACTAAATAGATAATCTCTCATGGTATTTAAGAATCTCAACAGATGAAGGACTTCTTTTTTTAAAATTTATTTTCGAATAAGTTCAGCCGCGGGTTGCTGCTGGACATTATTCCGATGAAACGCTTTACATGTTACACTAACACTTCTAATGAGAACATGTCAAATTACACAACACTGTTAATGAAAACAGATGACAATCTGATGAGTAACTGAACTAAAGAAAATGTTTGAAGGACTTCTAAACCCTCAAAATAAACTTACATAAATACATACATTAAATGAATAAATGGCTAAATAAAACACCAAAACATCAGTTGATGAGGAGCGAGTTGTTTGTTTTATGGTTGAATAGACTGACCTAAACTAAAGAAACATTAGAGGTCTTAGACGTACACAAAGAGATACACGCAAATTAATCATTCCGTGCCCTCAGTATTCGTTGTACTTTGACGATGATGCGAGCTCGTGCTCATGAGGGTCGCCACGCATTTCCAAGACCCTTTTCCCTGCGTTTTTACCTACTAAAAGTGAAATAGAAAGGCTTCAAACATTCTAATTCATTTTTTCGAACCTTATCGTCTTTCTCAGCCGCAAGTTATTACCTACTTGGAAAATCCTACGCCCAAAGGAGAATTCAATCCAGATTTCCCATTCCTCTTCTAACCTAATTTAATGTCTAACCCTCTACCACTCCTATAAATCTCCTCAATCACATTATTATTATTATTATTATTATTATTATTATTATTATTATTATTATTATTATTATTATTATCACTTATTAATAATAATAATAACAATAGTTTAATTTGTTGTATCTATCTTGATGCAACGCGTCTCTAAACCCGTACAAGGGCATCCGGCGATTGCACTACAAGACATTGGAGTAATCCTCCATTAATTTGTTGCATTTTGGAGTAATCCTCCGTTATCTTCTATTTAAATTTGTCTTGTCCAGAATCGTCGCAGTCAGTTGTCGAGAGAAGCGCTAGGTAGCTTTTCCAGCGGCCAGAATGGGGAAGGAATTAGGATGGAGGCAGGGTTTAGAACGCTTTGCAGGGGTTGGACTAGCCCCTGTAAAGCAGGCAAACTCGTTCTGTTGGAACAACATTATTACACTGAAATTGAGGACTCCAGAGGGAGTGGTCTCGCTCGTATTAAGACTAAAACTAAATTGTCCACTTATCAAAACTCTCTTGTAAAGTGCCAATCCGCTGTGCAAGAAAACATAAGATGCTGCGCGACTGGAATCCGTTTAACCCTTTTACTACTACGAGCCGGCGGACAGCGAGTCACGCCCCTGGCGTCAAGCTTCTCCCTGCAGGCTCCGTTGTGAGCCGAGATCTCTTGCATGTAGATACCGAGCAAGAAATCTTAGTTATCAGTAAGTCCTAGTGATAGCCGAAAGCGCGACTGCACGAGCGAACTCTAAAAACGGAGCAGTGATGCCAAACTCAAAATGCTAAGGATGCCTATTCCTAACAATGAAACGTCCGGAGGCTCACGGGTCATCGCGTTCCTCTTAGATCTCATTCAAAATCTTCCAGCGACAATCTGACTGAGCGTAATAACTCGTCCAGAGGCTAGTACGCACGGAAGTGTTTCGTGTATCTCCTCGCCTAGAGCAGTCAAAGGGTTAATAAACAAAAGAAAGGAAGGCTGCCCACCTGGAGGTATCCGCCGTGGCAGTGGGTGGCGTTGACGAGCGTGCCGACCTTGAACTTCTTGAAGCGGATGCGCAGGATCCAGTCGCGGGGCGTGCCCCGGAAGGACCGGAAGCGGTACCAGCACGTGACCGGCCGCCCTATCGTCAAGGGCGTCACTTCCGGACTCGTCACGTCCTCGTAGATGTCCACAGTCTTATTGCAGTGATCTCGTTTCCCTTCTGGAACAGAGAAGGAAACGAAAGTTCAGTTGAGAAACTTGGTTTCATGTTTGTACAAGAAATATATTGTATTATTTTTACAACGAGAAATAAAATGTTAATATAGAAAATACTTGACAATGCCTCGAAAGTTTATTTGCTTATATTTATTTGTTCTATTTTTTGTCTTCATACTCAGGGTGATCATTCCTTTGCTGGAATAAATTGCCCTGTTTTATACCTTTCTCCAGCATTTTTGGTTTTTTTCCTAATAAAATTTGTAATATCACTGTATATCAAAGAAAATATTGACGTTTCTCTGTCACGGGTTTGTTAGATCTCTTATTTTGTTGTGGCTAAGTACAAATTAACAATATTTCCACAGCAAATAAAAATTAAGTAAAACGTAACGCTGTTGTATATTAAGGAATAATACATGGTTTTATAACCACCTCAAAATTTTTCCTGACTTGTATCGATTTTTCTACAACTTTCCTAGTTTTTTGTAACAATCAACAGCAATGAAATGCCCTGATTATTTCCGTTTTCCAGAAAGTGGCCACCCTGATATTTATTTCGAGCCCGACCTCGGGAGCTAGTGGTGAAATTTGGCTAGTATATCCAATGCTTGAGGAACATAAATCCAAGGGAGCGATTAAATTGGTATTTGATTGTACAATCATTGTATATTCTGATATAAATATACAGTAACGTTGGTGTTATACTATTTTTATAAAGATGTAAAACTTCATAAGTATTCTAAACTTTAACGTGGTATTGTTATTACAAAATGTGTTATAGAAGGGTATTTTGATAAATACGCATTTTTGTAAAACAAGAAACAATTTTTATCCTTGTAATGCATCAAAGATTATTTTTGTTAGTTCCTGTGAAGTCACGCAAAATTAAGGTCATTCATGTTTTTTTAATGCCTTTCATGCTTTTTAATGGTTCTTTTTTACTAGAGAAAACTATTCTGGAATGGAGAAGTAAACAATCGAAACAAAAGTATTTATTAGTACTCCATCAAGTGCTTTTGAATAAAGGTTTCTTTTACTACTTGCAGGTATCACGTGTAGATATTGAACGTACAGCGGAACTTTAAAGAGAGAAAATGTCACAATGTTAATGCGCGCAAGGAATATTGTATCTTTGTAATTATTTACAAAGCATAAAAATAATATCCTTTTCAAAAATTCAGGGAATTTTTCAAAAGTTTTTTTGAGATGGTACTTTTCCGAAAAAAATAATATATTTTAGGCTTAATGCTGTGCATGAAATAGACGTTCCGACATTACATACGCTACTGCGTAAATGTACCTTTTACGTTGTTCTTGTAATTTGCGCAGCATGGTTAAAGTAGTGATTTTCGCATAAAACACTCCGTGTAAGAATAGGACAATGCCTGACGGATACTATTGTGTGGATTACGTTAGTCGGTGTAAGCTCTGACACACACACACACACACACACACACACACAGTACCTTCAAGCGTTTCATAATGAGTAGCTAAACAAACAGCTGGGCAGTTTTGGTATAATTAACGTCTTTCTGCTGACCAAATATAGTGTGACAAATTGGGCATTGCACATGCGGTCCAAATGCTAATGTCCAACGCTGTAGCAAGATTGATGGGTTGCAAAGTACAAAACATTCCTATTTCAGGGGCCACACAATTTGTAAGATATTTTATTTTGAATCCGTAATAATAAATATTTGAAAGTTATCAGGGAGAACTCACTTTTTGTATGCGGAACCTTAATGAAAAAATATCAATATAGTTAATTAAAAACAACACAAATAATCTCCTTTGATAGGAATGACATGAGTATGTACATATTGAATGATAAATCATGATGGCCCTCAAACTGTGTACCAAATCGTGTAACTAGTATTTTGAGAATGCTCTTTAAACACTTTCCTAAACCATCATTACCATATTTGTCAGTTTTGATGCAGAATCATAAAGCATACTAATATTTTATCGTTATCGTTCATGTTTCTGCTTTGAAAGCCTCATCACTTTCATTTCAATGAAATATAATTACGTGGTCTTTTAGGAACAATGCTGAATTTGTTACCCGAAACAGTATTTCTTGTTAATAAACGGGTTTTATGAAAATATCATTGCCAAAAATACATATCACCGGAACATTGAAAAACATCACTTCATAATCAGTATATACGTAGATGTAAAATACGAGCGCATTGTGGGAAGAACATTGATTTGTGATGTAATTCAACATAAAAATTATTCTATTTCATGCTTCATTCTATATCGTCACCGTCATTCAGCAGCTTCGTTTATCGTTGTCATCGTTGAGCGTCATCAGCGGCGTTTATCGTCATTGTCATTCATCATTGCTCATAGTCACCGTCGCTCGTCACTGTCGTTGGTCAT